TGGTGCTTCTCTTTCTAGTTATCAAGCTGGTGCCCTCAAAAAGTACTTCAGTAGCAGTACCTCTAGGTGGAAGTATTTCTTTTCTTTTGATAAAAATCAGATGATGACTTAGCAATTAACAACTGCTGGTTAATTTAGTGCTTTTTGGATACCTGCTATATCAACCCATAGTTCTGGTACCAGGAATATAAAGCACAATAAGAGATTGGCATCACAGGATTGGCTGGTTCAGCATTCCCAGTAGCAGAGAGTAGCTGCCCAGTGGTGCTAAATTCCTTGCCATCTTGACATTTCCATTGTCTCACAGGAGTTGTGTGATTTCTGACCACTGCTGGGACCTGCAGGATGAGCATAGGCAGGAGAGTTTCATCACTTCTCAGAATGAAACTTCAGCTCTCCTAGAGCTTCTCTACCCAGGCAGGACAAACTTGCATCTTGGGCATTTGTGGTCCACTTGACAGGTCAAATCTACATTATTCTCTTGGCCCATTGTTGGGACAGCAGTGTGACCCCGGTTCTTAGAAACACCAGCGTCACAGCCTAGCAATGGGTCCAGCCTACTCATGGGAGAATTCTTGTGTATACAGGTGGGAAATGAGGCTCCTTGGAGAATAGGACTACTTTATTGCGTTTAACTAGAGAAAGGCCAGTAAGAATTAGTGTCTGGTGTGGATTAACATATTTGTTTGACATCCATTGCAGTTTATATTCATTTGTTTCACAATTATTTATATCTATTACTCTATTGGTATGTTAAATATAATCATTCAAAAATAGAAATGTTAGAAGTTAATATAGGGCCAGGCACAGTGACTCCTATAATCCCAGTACTTTGAGAGGCCAAAGTGGGAGGATCATTTAAGGCCAGGAGTTTGAGACCAGCCTGGGCAACATAACAAGACCCCCATCTCTAAATAAAATGTGAAGGAATGTGCTAATATTTTTTTCCCAGTGATCATCTTGTGTTCTCCTAGAGCTGTGTGCTCCCCACTTTGGAGACCACTGCCCAGGGGAATCCCTAGCCCCATTATAACACCCCACCACTCTGTGGCTTATTCCAGGGGTAAAGAAAACAAATGTATCCTGAGGTTAGTATCTACCTCTAGCTGGATCCCTGCTAATCTTCATTGTTATGATAAAATGGCCAGGCTCTGCTCACACTTGTAATCCCAGCACTTTGGAAGGCAGAGGTGGGTGGATCACCTGAGGTCAGGAGTTAGAAACCAGCCTGGCCAGTATGGTGAAACCCTGCCTCTACTAAAAATACAAAAATTAGCTGGGTATAGTAGCACACAACTGTAGTCCCAGCTACTGGGGAGGCTAAGACATGAGAACCACTTGAACCTGGGAGACGGAGGTTTGCAGTGAGCCAAGATGGTGCCACTGCATTGCAACCTGGGCCACAGAGTGAGATTCCATCTCAAAAACAAACAAACAGAAAAAACATTCACAGTTGTGGCTTTCAAGCCCAACTTTCGCTGCTGTGAAATTTCTCACACAGCATTTGGCTACTCAGCCCATTTTATAGGAACTGGTACCTCTCTTCCACCCCTGCTTTTGTGGCTTTGTTACTCATCTTGCTCAATTTTGTGCTGAGAGTAAATGCAAATGCAGAAGTGAAAACTAGCCCCTTGGGGTTCCGTGCCAAGGAGGAACTCTGTCTTTCTTTCCCATTGCTTCTCCCTACAATACTTTCTAAGGGCCCTCCTTTACAGTGCAGCTTGATCTCTGGAGAAGCGCATGGGAGCTGATGGGCACATCAGAACTGGCCCAGCAGCCTGTAGGAGCCACTCAGTAGTCACCTGGAGACCTCCATGCTCGAGTCTGGAGGCCTGGAGGCCTGGAAGGTGCAACTCAGTTATTTTGTATTAGATAACCAATGTATTTTAGATGAACAAATGATTTCCTGTTTAGGTGTGAACGAAGTCTTCCTCTGTGGGTGCAATGGTACGATCTCAGCTTATTGTAACCTCCACCTCCCAGGTTCAAGTGATTCTCCTGAAATTACGGTAGCTGAAAACTACAGGTGGGCACTACCACACCCAGCTAATTTTTGTATTTTTAGTAGAGTTTCACCATGTTGGTCAGGGTAGTCTCCATCTCTTTACCTGATTCACTCATTCAGCTTCCCAAAGTGCTGGGATTACAGGCGTAAGCCACTGCACCTGGCCAAATTTTTTGTATTTTTAGTAGAGATGGGGTTTTGTAATGTTAACCATTTGTTTTGAACTCCTGACCTCAGGTGATGTATCCACATCCACCTTCCAAAGTGCCACCATGGAGTCCAGACAGCCCAGGGAGATGTTACGCAAAGAACACGCCCAGCGGCAATGCCTAGAAACCGGGGAAGTGGGCGTCTGACCCTCTTTAGGTTCCCATCTCAGCTGAGTATAAGATCATCTCTTTGTCTCCTGTCTTTGCTCACTGTGACTGCCTCAGTCCACAAACCAAAGTCACACCAGTTAGAGAAAATGTGGCCTGTGGTCTTTATCTCACTGAACAGCCCTTGACTGCCTCTGAAAACTGAGTTAGTCTCTGCACAGACAAAGGCTTGTATTAATCTCCACTAAACAAGACAGTGAGTTGTTCTCTAATCTTGCCACAAAACAAACGAAAAGACAGTGAGGCCCGCCAACAACTTACCTCCACAGTCTAGAGATATGATATATTTTTAACACTGGAATGTATCCTATGACTAGGAAACATTGGAGGGGTGGAAAGCATAGGCTTTGGAGGTAGGACAGCTACATGATCTTGCTCAATCATCATACATGTTTGTTGAATGTTTACTATGTGCCAGACACTGTGCTAAATGCTTTACAAAGATTATCTCATTGGATCCTTAAAACAGTAAATCTCTTGAGGTAGTAACTAGTTTCATTTGACATGTCAGAAAACTGAAACAGGTTAAAACAACTTGCTCAGAAAGAAAGGAAAAAAAACTTGCTCATGGTCCTGGCTGGTAGGTAGCAAGCTGGGATCCTAACCCAGTCTCATACTTTCCAAGTCCTCACCCTTAACTGCAGCTGGTCAGCATCCTAAGGTACTTGGCCACACAGACTCTTCCCTAATCTTAAAATCAGGCCATTCTGTACCTCAGAAAGTTGAGGACTTGGATATGGGTTGTAAGTGCCTGGCACATAGTCAGAACTTAATAAATGATAGCCGTTCTCATTTGTGTAGAAGCTCATTTTCATTCTATGATTTAAAAATGAAATAATCTTGGATAGTCACAACTCTTTCACCACCTGATGAAACCCACCAGTTTTCTGCAACCTCAGGTCTCCATAAGGGTCTTCTTAAATTGGCTCCCCTCATTTCACCAGCTTTTGTGGGCCAAGGTCCTAAGATTCTGCTCTTGAAGCCAGGTTCCCACACTAATTCATATGACCCCCATTTACCACATGCAGATCAGGCTAGGTGCTACAGAGATGAGGAAGACAGTCCAGGCCTCCCGGGGCTTAGAGCTTAGGGGTGAGAGTGGGGGTGGCAAACCTTAACAAAATCTCCCATGCAGTGATCAGGTTGGAATCCTCTTTACTGAGAGCCACTGGTATCACCGAGGCTGGTGGCCTCTGATGCTCATCTGCACCCATCGGTGGGACAGCTGGGGTTGCAGGATTGAAGAACCCTGCCAGCTGCTCTGCATCCCAAGGCTCTGAGGCTGAGGGAGTCATGTGCGGGGTGTTGTTAGGTCCCAACCGGCCCACCCTAAGTAGCAGGAATCTGGAACCTGAAGGAAGCTGGTGCGGCATCCATCAAATCAGTTCCCACAAAGCCATTCCCTGTGTGCACTTCAGCTTCTATGAGGCCTTGCCCGAGGTCTTTTAGAGGCTTATAACAGTTAGCTGGCATCAGGTTCCCTGAGAAGCAGCAGTGAGGACGCATGGTTCCTCCAGAACTTAGATGGTTTTCTGAAAGCTCTCAAGTATTTCTTCATAATCATGTTCATCATCGTCTGCAAAAGAGTCAATGACAATCTTTGGCATTAGGCAAGTTCCTTCCCTTTAGGGCAGTTTCCTCACCTGTGCAGGGAAGGGGTTGGCCCAGATGCTTTTAAGGTCCTTGCTAGCCTAGAAACCACAACTTGTCTCCACACTTTGCAACCATTTCATTTTCCTGTCTGCGGCAGGGAGGGTAGAGTGCTGGGAACTGAACTCACTTTCTGTGCCAAAGCTCTGGAGCCCTTGGGAAAGACAGTAGGGACCTTTCCACCTGAGCCCACCCAAGAGACCTGTCCATCAAACTGGGACCACAGAAGGGTCTGTCCCTGGGCAGGGCCAGAGGCAAAGGAACCAGCAAGGTAGTGAGGGGAGACGCCAGGACATGGATGAGTGGTACCCACAGGGACTCACCTAGATCCTGTGTTTGGGGCTTAGTGGGCCTGTGGCCCTTCTTGTGGCCAGGAATCTTGCTGTACATACTGGAGCTATCCTTGGTGAGATCTGGCAAGGTCTTCGCCTTGGGTTTGGGTAGCAGAGGGGGTTGCTTCAGTCCTAAGACTTGAGAAGACTGGGAGAAAAAGCAGAAAGGAATCAGCAGGGTCTCAAATGGGGAAGCAGGGTCCATGAAAAACTGTCATTCACGTTGTTAAGTGTCACTTCGCCTGCTTCTTTCTACTTCCTTTTCAGGCTATGGCTTCTCAAGACCCCTGGTGTGTTTGCTACAAGCATGTGAAATATTCTCTGGCAAGGGAGAAAGGGGTCAGGGTAGAAAATGAGGACAGGGTTGGGGGCTGTAGACGGGGTATTCCTGGGATTCTCCACTTAGGAATGCCGTCAATGTCCTTTAATTCTGTTGCTGAAGGGGAAGAAAGCAAAGTGGGGAGAGCTTAAGAAAGCAGCTGCAAAGCCTCCCGACAGTGCCTGAGCTGAGGAGGCCCAGCAGGAAGAGGACTTTCACTGCACTCCTCCGTGTGCCAGATGCTACATGACGTCTGCTCTTTAATCCTCAAGTCATCCTCTGAGTGGTTTCAATTCCCAGTTTGTGTAGGAGAAAGCGTGCCTTATCAAAAGTCACGCGGAAGATCCACAGCAAGGCCAAGGTTTGGACCCAGAGCCACACCTGTAACCTCCAAAGGCAGTGGGTCTTCGTGCCACACCATGTTTTACAGAGCGAGCGCACAGCTCCCTGATTAGCACCGATTCCGATGCACGAAGGGGAAAAGTTGTGGTTCCAGGAAGACAGCAGTGACAAGGCCCAGAGTGCCACCATCAGGAGCCAAGACGCAGTCTGTGGTCTCTCGGTCCTGGGAAGTCCCCTTTCCTGCCCTGGCACAGGCCTGTGTTTCTGATGAACCAGTCCAGCCATTGTCAGAAAATGACTTCCTGACTTCCCCACCCTCACCCCAAGATAAAAGCCCCTTCTGGGGCTGAGACCACCCAGGAGTCATCTTGTAACTTCCACTGCCACCTGCTGCCTATCACACATGACTAAATACGAGTCATCCAAGATCCCAAAACAGGAGCTGGTGACAGTAAAGGACTTTTTATCTGTCTCATCCCCTCCTGTTCTCAGCAGAGCACAGCAGCTGGACGCTCAGGCTGTGCGGCCAGATCCAATTACAAGCCCTGGCCCCGCCACTTGTGGGCTGCGTTGCACCTCTCCCCTTCAACTGGGAAGCGAGATACCAGTATCTAACTCAGAAGCATCGTGAGAGTATTTGAGGCAAAGCCTATCAGGGGCCTGTCACAGAGTAAGCAGGTCACAGAGGCAGCACAGCAGCAGCTGAGGATGGTATCGCAGGTCTACTGGTGAGAAAAAGAACGCCAGAGTACCATGCACGAGCACAGAGTGAGTGAACCGGCACGTAAACTTAGTCTTTTTGACCCTGTGCCTGGCTCTTTCCTGCTCATCTGTGACTCTATTTGGCTCATTTCATGGTACTCTTCTGGCCTTGGAGCGGGTAAAGTCCCTGCCCTCATAGAACTCTTTCCAGCTGGAGTCTCAGATAGGACTCCCTAGAAGACGTGTCTTGAGCTACGTACAGCACACAGTGGGAGTACAGGAGAGGAGGCAGGACCACAGCTGCTGAGCAGGAAGTCTGAGCCCCACCTTGTCTGTGAGCCTGAAGGAAGAACACTGCTGGCAGAAGGCCCGGGTGTGGGGGTCTGAAGCGGGAGTCTCAGGCCAGGAGGGAGCTGCAGGCACTTCTCTCACTGAAGGGTGGACAGCAGAGTGGTGGGAGATGGGTCCAGGAAGGTGAGACAAGTCAGCTTATAAAGGACCCTGGCTGCCATGTTGAGAGGTTTGTATCATCCCACAGCAATGGGGAGCCCCAGAAGTTTCCAGAAGATGGAGCTGAGGCCCACCAATGACCACGAAAGGAGTTAGGACTTTCTGACAGCTGTTAAGAGGCTGCTGAAGCAGTTCAGGAGAAAAATGATGAGGCTGGAACTAGGGAGTGAAGGCAGAGGCGGTGGAGAGAGGAAAGCACCATGAACGTGGAGTTGGAATGTCCATGGCCAAGTTCAGTCCTGCCACTTACTAACAGGGACCCTGGGAGAGTCCTCATTTTCTCAATCATAACATAGAGATAATCATACCAACCTCAGGACTGATTGCGAGATGGAATGAGAATTACGGGCTGCAATGTGTGCAGGCTTACAAACTGCAAGTTTACACAGTTGTAAGGGAAACATGACAGATGTGACAGAAGCAGTGATCCCAGTAACTGACCCCTCCCTGCCCGCTGGGATTATACTGGTACCTTGACGCCTCCCTTCTCGCTGCTGTGTCTCCGCTGCCCACTGAGTCCCTGACTTTTCGGGGGCCTTGGTGGAGGGGCTTGGATCTCACAGGCTGCTAACTTCCGAAGAGTGTAATAAAACGTGTCTGGCAGCTCCTCCACTGTGGCTAGGGGCACAGACCCCCCTGGCTGGTCTGGCTGCACCTCGGCCTCCACGACAGTCAGGTCCAGCCACCGGGGAGGGATCTCGAAGCACATCCCAGGCGCAGAGTCCAGGCTGACCACCAAGAAGGGCTCTGTGATCTTCTCCTCCAGCTGCAGACCCAGTACAGCAGTCAGAGGGTCACTGGGGTAACTGGGATCCTTGACCATCACCCTGACCTCACAAGGCAGTGAGAACTGGGCAATCAGATCCACCAGGCTGTGGCGCCGGCTGTCACTCATCTCCTCCACGAAGCTGCCAGGGCAGTGGAGGGGCAGTAGGACCCGCTCTGGGCTCTCTGCCTCCTCTTCACACTCTTCCTCCTCATCCTCATCACTCAGCCGCTGACAAACCAAGACGTCAATGTCACTGCCCTGGGCCCCGTGGGCCAGGCCAAGCCCCAGTACCTCCAGCCTGTCGCCCACAGCCAGGGATGTGAACTCAGGATTCTCCTCTCCCTCGCCCTCACAGTCCTTTGTGGCCACCACCCGGAGTGGCCGGCCTGGCTGCAGTGCACCCAGGAGGTCATAGGCCGTGGGGAACTCCCTTGGCCGCCGCCGCATCTTGCCCTGGTAGGCCCCTGACACCAGGAAGTACCTGGGCTCTCTGCGGCCCTTGTTTGAGGCCAGGACCCGCCAGGGTGGTGAGGCTAGGCCATGGATGCAAAGCCTCCGGCCTATCTTCAAGGAGCGCACCCATGGGCTGAGGAAGATGTGGCGCCCTTCAGGAACTTCCAGAATCTCCACGGACAGGGGGAAGGGGCCTTCCCGGGCCAGGACCTCACTCAGCAGCAGTGGTTGGACGAAGTGGATGTGCTGGGAGGAGGCGGTGATGTCCTCCACGTCCACGTTCAGGTTGGAGGGGATCTTGACGATGGTCCTGCGCACTATCGAAAGGGGCAGCTCAGCGGCACTGCATGCCACCCCAGGAGTGGCCCCATCCTTGGCACAGAGGAATGGCTGGGCCGGCTGCCTCCCTCCTGCTGCCTGCCATCTTTTCCTTCCAATCAGAATCTTGCTATTGCACCACCTTCCCACTCACGCTTTCCATTCAACCTTTTTTTTGAAAAAGTCTCACTCTGAGTAGCTGGGACTACAGGCGTGCACCACCACGCCCGGCTGATTTTTGTATCTTCGGTAGAGGTGGGGTTTCACCATGTTAGCCAGGATGGTCTCCATCTG